AAAATAAAATTTTTATTTGAAATATCCTATTAAAAAGAGATTGAGAAGTTTTTTAATATTGTTTTACCGCGCACAGCTAGGCGCCTGACATGGTATGACAACATACCAGGTGCAACATACCAGGTGCAACATACCAGGCGCAACATACCAGGCGCAACATACCAGGCGCAACATACCATGCGCCTAGATCTAGATTTCAATCAGGCAACGGACAGTCAGCTAAATAGCGAGCTCATGATCACATCGCAACATAAGTGTGCTGCTTATTTCAAGACATTCTTAGCTCTTCCATATTTTATTTCAGCTTTGCACTGTTCCAGACAAATAGGTTTTTTGTACGTCTGAAGTTGGAATCTGGTGTGCTAATTCTTGGTAATCAAGTTTCGTCACAGAACTAAATAAAAAAATTTGATTTTTAATTAAGGTGTATTTCATAGAGAGGTTTTGCGAACAGTATGGGAGTATTCATGTTCAAAAAATACACCAATACTTAAACTATAACTAACATATAAACTTGATATCATGATTATCCTAATGTGATTTCCAAAGTCAGTAGTTCAGTCAGCTGCCTTTTGTGGTAAGAAAGTTATTGTAATAGGGCAATAACTTGTCGGCAATACTATCAATATATTCACATTTGAGTCGTATTGTAAGTGAAGTTAATAACAATTATTCTATTTTTAAAACTTTCATATAACTAATTACTTAATTAATTTATTAATTTTTATACAAAAAAAAAGAAAAACACAAACAAAATCTTAGCTGAGAATCGAAAGACCTGATCAGTAGCAGATCTTTCGTTTGACCTTTAGAAAGACCGGAAACAACTTTCAGTTTCAGTAGCAAAAGACCACTGCTACATCAGGAATGATATTTCAAACCGTCTTTCGCTAGATTTTTGAGTGTGGTGTGCTGAAAGATCGTTGCCAGAATTGCTTTTTAAGTGTTAATATAAAGTTACTATAAATCTGAGAAGCTGAAATTATATTTACCTTCTGTATTTAATAATTAGAAATGAGGTATCTTAATTAGCTTTATATTTTGCATTGAAAAAAGTATTTTTTAGTGTCTCTCAAATGTTGGCAGATCAGGTTATGGTTTGGTCAGATGGTTCAAATACAAAATGTTCAAAGTATTAAATTCTTTTTGTTGCAAATGAAAATACCATATATGACAATTGGATTCCACGTGAGTTTTAAGGTATCTAGACAAAGGGAGTTATTAGTAGTATACTATTTCACAATAACAGAGTTCTGCTCAGTGAAAAGTGCTTTTTGAAAAGCATTTGGGTACTATTCTATTTAGGCACTTCCGCACCATATTTCAATATAGCTTGGAGAAATAATTAACATCAGCACAGTATGTACTGTATGTGCTTAACCAGTTGGATTAACTTTTCTTTCGTGTCTGCTGATTGTTCTTGCAGTTGAAGAATTTCCCAATCAAAAAATAATTGATAGAACAAGGAATTGTGTTGGTTACGAAGCGTTTAATATGTTCCTGACAGTAGAAGTGCTACATAAGCTGCATCCAAAGCATTTCTAATAATCGAAAACAATGAAACATGATATATGTTTCATATATATGATATATATATATATGTGTGTGCTCATAAAATCGAAGAAAATTCCTTCAAAAATCTTTAAAATATTCGAGAATATTGTGGAATATTGTAGAAAATTATGCAAAATTTACAATAGAAGTTTTGGTTCTAATTTTTGTATAAAGGAATAAAGTTTTTTTGTCGGTGTTGTGTTTATTTTTTGGTAATTTAAACACAAACAGAAGCACTTCCAAACTCTCGAGATGCATGAAATTTATGAAATACGACTAAATTCATTTTCTATTTGCTTGATAAAATATTCGGAAATAAATTTATATTATTTTTGATATAGTACCTTTTATATTTAATGATTGAATTTTATGGTTTTGTGTACATATTTAATACATGAATAATTTTCATTAATATACAAATATTCGTATTATATACATAACAAATGGAAGTAATATAAAAGTTAAAGAGAATGTGCTAGGTCAGTTGCAAGTAATTGCATAGTAAAAAGCTATATTTTTTCATTGCTCGATGTAGTAGGGGTTTAAAGTCAAGCACATTATATTATTTTTAAATGTTGATAAATAAATTTATATATTGATAGTAATAAGGAATATGTATATATATATATATATATATATATATATATACATATGAAAATAAATAAAAGAGAATAAAATTTTAAACCTGCTAACTTATAATTATGATTATACATAAATAAATCATTTAGAAAACTGCACAAAAATTTTGAATTGCACATAATTTTTCATTTAATGAAGAAAAATTATTAAAAAATTTAGTTTTCTGGAACATCAGTAAATATAGAATTTTGAAATTTTAATATTTAAAACGTCAACACAGAACTTCAAAGATAAATTGGTTATAATTTATTCTTAATGCAAAAATATATTCTTCTTAATAAATTCAAAATAAAGACAAATTCATTTCTTTATTATTTAACATAAAATCCATTATAAACTATTTCCAAGTTCAACCAAATAAATTGTGTGTAAAAAGTATCCGAAATGTGTACTCTGAAAAACTTCAATAAAAAAAATAATCACGAACATTTTAGCAATCGATAATTGTAAATCTGGCAGAACCCTTTAACTTAATTCGAACAATCTTGCAGTTATATTGCTAAATATTTAGCAATTTTCAAACCAGCCAAAAACTCCACTCGATAAAAAAGCCCATTTAAAATTTTTAATATTCTCAATACTATTCTATCTTTCTAAACAATAGATCCTCTTGTCATTAGACTTTAATTAACTACCAAGAATAATTTTTGATTGATTGATCAGTTATTGGGATTGTTTCATGTGGCGTATAAAATAATCATAATAATCAGACAATGCCAGGCAAAAGGCAGAAGAAACAAAGACTATTTTATATCAACAATTAATAAATAAGGTTCCTAATTAACAGAAAGCATATAAGAATCATAGAAAAAGTAATTCTTAATAGTGATATTTCATATGACAGGTATTATGCACCACTTTGATAAATAATATTAATAATCAATAATGATGTCCCGATGTCCCGTAATTCTTAGGGTGCAGTAAAGCTGCGTTAATAATCAAAAAACAAGTATAAGGAGTACAGCTTCCACCTTATAAAGAAAAAGTCGAGAATAGTCAGTACCGCTTAGGTAAGCTGAACTTTCTAACAAGCAGGACATGATGTAAGAAAGCTTATTTACAAAACAGAATCTCTGAGTTTAAGTCGATATTTTATTACTTAACGGAAATTGGGCAGAAAGCAAGATCCACAAGTCTCCAGCACTTTTACGAAAGATGCCCGGAACTCACTAAAATATAAATACTTTCAAAAATCCACGTAATGCAAGTCCTAAAAAATTAATGTTTTAATATAAGCCAAGAATACAGAGTTACAGAATATTGATAATATAGTAGGAAAAGCATTTTATGCATGAAACTTTCTCATACAGAAATTTAGCAACCCTTAATATCTGATAGACGATTTCTGAATATTCGACGATTCGAAAATTTCCAAATATTTTCTATTCAAAGTAATAATTAGTTTCTAAGATTTTTGATTTTAAAGCGAAATTAAATATGTCTAGTCATTATATAGTTATTAAGAAATTATAAGACATGATTGCGATTTCTTCAACGTCTCGGGTTGATGTGGCATTTTTTGAGTTCTTCAATATGAGTAACTTCATCCACAACAATATGCATGGCTTAGTTCTCAAGAAATATGTTGTTAAAAAATTATATTTTTAGGAAAAATACAGACAACTGCTGACGACGCCATCTGCCATCAATTCAAAATAATCGAGAACCACGCATAGTGTAGTTACTCTGAATGCTGAATTTTACATAAATTCATCGTCAAATAACAGTGACCAAGAAACCATAATGAAACCAATTAGAATATATTACAACTATTTTATTTTTAATTGAAACTCTTCGTTCGGAAACATAAGAGTCTCTAAAAAAATGTGATAAAATAGAATCGGAGATGTTCACAACTTTGAAAGGTTCCAGTTTTCATGTAAATTGCAAATAGTCCTTAAATTTATATCACACCCAAACTAAAGCTGTTTTGAAGGGATGTAGAACCTATCAACGAAAAAGAGTTCTGTGATGTCTTGCAAAGCATTAACATCCATGATTTTTCAAAATATTTCAAGTAAAATGCAAGATTTAGGTTAGACATTTCTGATTCGAATTAGAATAATAATAATAACTGGGCAATGGCTATAGGGCTATTGGACCAATAAATCCTGGAAATATAGAGACAAAGATGAGAGCAAACCCAGAGAATTGCCGAATGATAGAGTCATATGTGATTCAAGTCCCCAAAACCAATTTCATGGTTAATAAATAGTATAGACACTAAGAAAATGCGAAGAAAAAGTAAAGGTCTGGACGCAGATTGAAAATTACAAGAGCATGGCTTGAAATGCCAATATAAAAGAGACCCTCCTCGAAGTAATGCGAAAGCGGTCCAGAGGTAGAATACGTCTCGCTAAAGAGGTGGTATTTTAGCCCGCATACTACATATTTATGTTGAGGAGTCCGGCACAACATTCCGAGGACGTTCGGTCTGATTCATTTATTTTGATATGTATTCGTCTCATATGTATATATTGCATAGATGTCTCGAATTGAAGTAACAGTATTAACTCTTTTTTTCTTTGTGATTTTACGACCAGAAATCAAAAATATACACGATTATTTGCAAATCTGTTCATCGCTTTAGTGCATCACTGAAGGTATTGCGATGATGTTTAGTGTCTGAGAAATTCCATGAAAGTAATGAGTAATATTTAGTTGCTATTTTTGTCATAAAGAAATACTAATAAAACTACTATATGCACTAGAACTATACTCGTATAAATATGTGGTGTTTAGAAATCATTTTAGCATTGAAATAATGTGACAAAAAAATAAAGTTTCATATTTAAATATTTTTTAAGAATGTGAGTGTTCATACAAAAAAAAAACCACTTTTTCGGCAAAGTACCAAAATCAAGACAGTTGCCTTTACATTATGTCTGAAAATGAAGAAAATAGGGAAGGTCAACACAACGACCACAGTCATTATGATGAACAATTAAGACGTAATATTGTAGAGGCCATAGAAATAGTGAAAGATTTAATAGAAGAATGTGAGGTTCGGCTTTCGGGACCACAACCAAAACCACGACGTCGACGAGGAATAAGAGTTGAAATAGAAGGAAATGTCGAAAGTGAAAACTCAGATATAACAACTAATACTTCAATTAGCTCAACAGAAACTGAAATTGTAATGCAAAGAGAAAGTGTAAGTGTTAAAAACGATAGTGAAACTGAAAGCACAAACCAACAAAAACTACCTTTACAATCAAGACTTGACTTACAAAAAGAGGAACAGAGAAGAGTAGAGTCCATAGCAGAAAAAATAGGTTTATGTGATTCAAAAACCCAGCATGAACATTTACCTAAGGAGAACCTGGAATTAAATGCAATTCCTGATTGTAAAGACTTTGTTCCATCTAAAACTCAAACTCCTGTAAAGGAATCATCTGTTCGTTATCTATAATCCTTTGAGTATAAATTAATAATGTAAATTTTATATTTCAGGATGTAGAATGTGTTGTTGCTCCCACTTCATATGATATAAACAGCAGTAAAATCGGTTGTGGTATTAATGCTACTTCAAATCAAGAAATAAGTAATAAAACGGCTAAGCTGGATATAACAACATCTAATGAGTCTACAAATAATACAGCTTCTGATGTTGACTCATCCAGTTCGAAGAAAAAGGTAGACACATTACTAGAAAGGCAAAAATAGATGAATACGCCATAAATTTCTCATTCTTCGTGATAAAATCAATTCAAAATTTGACTGTCTTTAATTTAAACACATTTTCCGCAATAAAAATAATTTCAAATAATTTGGTTTCATTTAAAATAAAATAATTTATAGAATATAAGAGAAAATGAATTTTTTATTTAACAGTATTAAGTAGTGACTGACAAAAAATGTAAGGATATGAAATGGAACATTTTTTAGAAACTCTTCTTCTTATACTGAAAATAAACATTGAAATTAAATTATACACAGTATAGGTTAAGTACCTATAGACCATACACTTTATTAACAGCAATTGTTCCCTGCTGGTAATCATAACTCAAACTCTGTTTTGTAGTGATATCCGCGTTTCCCTATTGCAGTCTTAAATGCTAGTTTGTTTGTTTCATGGAACCATGAGTAAGATACGAGTATAACCCAATTCCATTTTTTTAGAGATAGGACTCGGAACTGTTTGAGACATTGATGTTTGCTGATATACCATGGCATATTATGATCATGCATAATGTTTTGTATTGTCAGATTTGTGTCTGCTGTAATTTTACATAGCTATAGTCTACAAATCTAGTTAAGTCACAGCACAGTATTATAAATCAAAAGCTGTTTCTTATCTTAATTGTATATCTGTTGAGAGATTATCTGACTAACAAGATAGGTCTCTTGAAATAGATTGAATATAAGCGCTGCTTAAACTTTACCTCTATGCTATATTATTTATTCTTGTTCAGCTTTGATATAGATAAGTGATCAATATAAGTCCGTAACAGCTCATAATATTACGATATCGGTCGATAAGCTGAGTGTTTTCTATTTGGTTAGGACCTGCTTATAGCACAAAAGGTTTCTCATGGTCTTAGTGACCCGTTTAACAGAGCGGGTACTGTGTAAATTTATATTCTATTTTATTCCATTGCATTTGTTATGAATACTGTGACTTATTTTTGTTCCGTTGATTGCGTGTACTCTGTTAATTTCCGTTCTGTCCCATTCTGTTAGTAATAATAAATAATGCATACTAAATTTTAATGTTTTCATATATTTTATAAAGTGGTTTTTCGAACAGTAGTGAACTACAACAACAAAAATTTATTTTAAATTATTTTAATTAATTGAATTTTTGACTGACCATATAGCTGTTTCGAGTATTGTCAAACATTCATTATCAGTGGTCTTCTTGCATTTAATTATTGATAAATAATTTTTGAGACTGCAAGTACCAGAAATTGAACTCGTGCCCTGCCAAATTTAAAGCTCAGAGTCAGCGCTCCTTAATCAACTGACCCAAAGCCGTATTTCAATTTTATGTTCGTACATTTTTCTTGGGTTTCTGTTAATTTGCTGCGAAACTTTTATTAACAAATTCATTTGCTGTGTTTATATTAAAACGAAATCATAAACTAACTGTAGAACAATTGAAATAATTAATTATATTTATTTTCATACTATTCTGTTTGTAGAGGCATTATTTGTTGCATGATTTATATATTCCTTTTTATGTATAGAACCTAATCTGGGAACGTAATACTAAAAAAGTCATGCTAATATTACTCCACAAATCGCATGGGCGAGACCAATATTTTGTGAATATAAGTTTTCATATATATATATATAAACATTATTACTATTATTATTGTTAGGAGTTGTGGCACTGCGACCATTGGGTCTATTGTGCCCTCTTCTAGGTTTAGGGTAGGTCTTTAAGCCATGTTGCGTCAATAAAAAGTAGTATAGAACCACTTTACAGACTTTTTCTGCCCCTTCCATCAGAATATATATTCCTAGGAGTCTATTTCGTATGTGCATTAGCGCAGGGCATTCTAACAGCACATGTGTGGCCGACTCTTCCTTCTCTTCACAGCAGCTACAGTTTGCATCCGTAAGTATACTTAGTTTTGTAAGGTGGTGTATTAGTCTACAGTGTCCTATTAGGATTCCTGTGATGATTCTAAGTTTTTTTTTACATGCATATATGTGTATATATATTCATTTATATTTATTATAATTTTTTTAAATTTTTAATAAGATACTCAAACTGGTTTTCAAGTAATCTGTATAAAAATTCAATTAATTTGAAACGCAAACATTTGCATTTAAAAATTAAAAGTACTACGCAAAAATTGTTTAAGTAATAACCTCACCGATATTTATCCGGCAATAGTATGGTTATAAATCAATTTTTACACAGAAAATAGAGTGAAAATATCGTAGCAATCCTTGAAATTGCAGCTTCAACACGTTTCACAAATTTGATGCATTCAAAAAATATTTACCCATAATACAGCCCTGCAACACTCACACACTCATACACAGACACATTGCATTCAGGATGTGCGTTCTGCACATGTGTGAAATTGTGAGTGTGTGTTTTTGTGGGTAAAATATTTACTATACAATGGCAGGATACGCCATTATGTTGGCTGCTAGAATTCTGTTCAACATGCTTTATACGTTGGGAGATATATTTCAAATTTTTTCAGATTTAAACATATTTTTTTTGCTTCTTATTTTGGGTTTTAACTTTTTCGTATCCTTGCAGATATACGAGTACACGTAACTTTCTGGCATTTTACTTGAGCTTTCCTATTTGATATTTCGCTTTTTCGTCGTTGTGTTTGGCTATTTGGTTGATACTTCTATATGCCAGGAGCACAATTCCATACTCTATCGTATGTCATTGGTGCCACCAGTAGACTGACGCTAACATGTCGCCAAACGTCTCAAGTTTGTTTTTATATCATTTTTTCAAAAAAAAAAAAAAAAAAAAAAAAAAAAAAAAAAAAAAAAAAAAAAGAAGAAAAAAAAAGCACAACAAAATTTATACTTTTTTAAGTAAGGTTTTTCATATATTTTTTAAATTTCATCCTGTTTGCTGGCTTAAATGTTAAAATGGTCAAATTTGATGGGGTTACTTTTATGTTATGCGATAAAAGCCAAAATGCAGAAAATATTCGCTTCATATATCAGGACACCAACTCGCAGAGCTGTATATTTGGATATATGTTAGCAAATATCGTCGTATGATGTCTGTACACTTGAGTATGGAACGTGCGTGAAATAGTGAGAAAAATATTTGCCATTAAAATATCCTTAAAGCACAGGAGAAAAGTGCTTTTCTTTTCACTTCGTTGGATTTTGTAAGTTTCTTTAAATGTTTACTACTTGGTCAATTGCTTGGAAGTGGTTAGTAACTATTTTCGTGTGTTACCTTATGATTATGTTTCTTTGTTGATGTGGACTCTGGACTTCAATGTGTTTGTAGACTTCAATGAAAACAAATTTTTAAGTGATAAACAAGTATTTTAAGATTTATAGGTGGTGTGTAAGGTACTTACATCATTTTTTGTTAAAATAAATAAAAAATTTTAATTTCCTTCAATTAACTTAACACGCCAAGAACTTTTATCTCTCCAACAACGATAAGTGCGTTGGCTACACTGGAAATTTTAGAGCTACATTTCACCAGTAGTTGCCAAATTGATGGTACTTAAGACGAGTTGACTTTCGGAAGATGCCCTACACTACCTGGTAAAGTATAAACATTATGTTTATTTTTTTTGTTTTTTCTTTCGTTTATATAAACGATATTTTTATTTACGATTGTGCACTAAAAGTTTTTATTATGCATTGCGAAAATTCCACTTTTATGAATTGTTTTTCACAACTATCTCGAATAAAGTGGAGTATACGAAAATAACTGTAAACTTAAAAGCAGTTATGGTAACACTACTTTACTATAAATAAAATTAACAACTTATTGACGGTGAGTAAAAAAGCAAAGCAAACCTTTATAGTTTCTTAAGTGAAACTAACTATTTCCTCTTTAAAATGTGCAAATTCATTTTAGCACGCAAGATGAAATGGTTTCTGATGGAAACTTAATTGATCAATTTCGATTGATTTGATGAAAAGTATATGTATATTCATTTACAAACGAAACGGATTTTGAGATTTGATTTCCCTAGATACAAGAAACCAAAAAAAATTCTGCAGAATCGAAAATGATAATGTAATGTAAAAATCCGTCCCATTTCTTACAGAATCAACTATAACTATATATAGTTTAACTCATATAAAATCGATAATTAATTTGAATTTTCCGACACTTTTTTATAAATCCAAATATGGTTTTCCCTTGTACTTCATATTCCCTTCAGTTTACACAATCAAAGTGAGATGTTTGATTAGTGGAGAATTATTTTCGAAGAAACTTGATATTGAAAAGAATCTTTATTATCTCTATAGTCATTGAAAATAATAACTTGATATAATTATATTGTTTTATTCCACTAAATATATAATAGCACAAAATCTTTAGTACCATTATTTTGCCTTTAAAGAAATTTTGGAATTAATAATTGTACAAATACACCTACTCGCATTTTGTCAATGAAGAAGTTTCACATCAAAAATTTGCACAGCTTCTCATAATAATTTTGTCATTAAGTAGTATGACTTCTCTTTTTTATTTAACTATCCATATAAATGAATCAAATATTATTAAAGCAGTTAAGCTGTTGATTCTCATTAAGTAAAATGAACACAAAACTATTTTCCAATTGTAATATTTTATCCTGATTAGTTAGAAAAATGATTATTTAAGCTCTCTGAATGTACACCGAATTATATTATTGCACTAGAAACTGGACTAGAAAGTGATTGTATCTATATGTGTAATATACATCTCTTATATATTAGTCAAAGTCTTAGAATACATATAATATAGAATATAATAAATAATCTGTTAAGTATAAAATAAGATATAAATATGCATATTTACTGCAGCAGTAAATTAGTAAAACCGTCGATATAACTTGGACGAATGATGTCCCATAATGCGTATGGTGTGGTTAAATAGCGTTAATAACCAAAACACTTTGAGGAGTATAGCTTCCCTCTAGTAAAGAAAAATTCAGGAATAGTCATTAATGAATGGAAATCAGGCAGAAATCAAGAGCTACATATCTACAGCACTTTAACGACAGATGTCCGGATATCACTGAAATATAAATACTTTCCAAGATTCACTTTATGTTAATTAATGTGGTAATAGCAGCAAAGAAAGTAGAGCTCCAGAACATTCATAATACAGTAGGAAGAGCAGTAGGGTATATGAATCAGCCTTTGCGGACTCCAGTTTAAGCACAAAAAGCGTCAGTCCACCACATATCGTAAGTTTATGTAGTCTTTAACTTTATTTATTAGTGACTGAACAGTCGTAATTATCTGCTTTTTAACCTAAATATTTCAGGATGCAGTAAAAGTCAAATCAAGTGATAAAGGTGAAGAAGCTTCTGCCGCTCGGGAGCTGGTGGATTAAATTATTAAGTAGACTTCTAGTTCCGTTTTAAGAAGAAAGAGTAATGGCGGTGTCCGATATTGGTTTTTTTTCGTAAATTGTGTTTATTTAAATACAAAAACAGTTTATAAATTTCACTTGTAATTTCTACTTATTATACTTATTAATTTTTTAATTTGCGTCACAAAAATGCAGCTTTCCCTTACAAGCTAAAAAATATTGTTAAGATATATCACCCAAGGTAAGACTTATTAGTGAAACATGGTGTTGATTCATACTACTTAACATTTAAATTCAAAACTGAGTTAAACCCATAGTAATCTTTACCAATTAATGTCCTGGTAAAGTATACTGTTATGTATGTAAGGAATTAAAAATAAATTAAGGGTTTTTAGAATAAATACTCTTACTCTTACCTTATCTTGTTTGTGACTATAAAATAAAATGTTCTATTTTAAGTAGTAGATCATTCATTCATGTCTTAATGAATTGTCTTATATTTTAGTACAAATGGATTGTGCATGAGGAGAGTATGTTAAAATCATCAAGTGTAGTTCGATTCGTGAATTTCGTTATAATCTGAAAATTATGTTCGTATCGATTGGTGCACCATGCACACAAATGCTCAAGAAGTACGTTGGCGACTTATAGATATATGCGTATGAGTTGGAACGAAAACATAAGTCGACTGTATGATGGTTTTAAGATGAACAAAATATAACAAAAATTGTTCGCGTTCAAAGCACTTCGAAACAAATGGTCGAAGTGTTTGTTTTTTCGGGAATACTGGTCATGTGGCAACTACACCATTACAGGAACGTCGAATTGATGTGTTATCCACCGTTCAGTCTTGATTTGGAACCCATTGACGTTTAACGTACTTCTTGTTTTCGAACGTCTAGAATAAATTGCGTGGACAACGATTTTTGTAGATGAAAGCAACAATGAAGTTGTTGTTTCATTATGTTTTGGAGGTGTCTAAAGAATACTGGAGAAAATGCTTTGGCAAATGATACGAAGTGCATGCAAAAGTGTATTATTCATAGAGGAGAATACTTCGAGAAAAAATAACGCAATTTTCAATGACAAGTTAGTATTTTTTTTTTATTATTAGGCATACATTATTATATATATGTATTTATGTACTGTTTGAGAAATATAGTATAATTTATGAGTTTGTTTGTTATCTGCTGAAGTAGAATAAAGCAAAGAAGTGCTTTACATCAAAATAAATTTTCAAGTTTATATCATTTTCATTATAAGCATAAAATAAAATTAAATTGTTTAAAGTTTCACATATCTTTTTCTTCTTCTTCTTGATTTTTCTACTTGAGTTAGTGCAATTACGCACTTTTACCCTATAACGGCAGGGGACTTATCTCTACCCCACACTAGTCTTTAACTAGGCTAAGAAATCATATCATTTATTTGTCTTTTAGTTGATGACGGACCTTAAATCAGCATATTTTCCTGAGAGTCCAGAAGTGGACTTGAGGATTGTTAGGGCGGGGTTAAGTAGCGTATCAACTTTAGTGAATAATTTTAGAGGTCTGTCTCTGATATATTTTTTCACTGAGTCAATCCTTAGATCAAGTTTTACATATAAAAAATAAATAGAAAATTCAAATATTGAATAAAATTTGTGTAGAATTAATAAATAAAGATAAAAATATTAAACTGCTGCACGCATATAAAATCGTTATTTTCAATTAAATTTGCATACAATCAGAAATTAAGCTGCTAACTTGCAAATTTACAATGAGAATTTTATTAGACTTAGCAAATAAAAGGAAAGTAATCCTTGTTGAAAATTACTTTAAGCGCAAGTCACGAACATTTGAATGTTTGAATATTTAAAAGGAGCATTCATGTAAACTCATAGTCATAAAATATTTTCGGATAATCCATACACGAGCAGCAAAGGAAAACGTCAGAAACAAATTTTTACAACATATACGAAAAGATAAAAGATGCAGGTGGCGGGATAAAGTGCTGGCGAACTGACTTTGAAAATGATGCATATGCAAAAGGATCTGACTGCAGAACTCCGTACGTGCAACCGCACAGATACTAATGCATATTTACATATGTGCGAGTGTGAGAAATTGCTTGCAAATTTGCAGCGGTTGCAAAAAATGAGTTATGTGCGAATTACTGCTTTCGGTGCATATTCTCATTAGAATGACTTTAAAAGATAACATGAAATGCAGAACAAGATTTTCGCCTGGAATGGTAATGATAGCTTTTTTTACTTTCGTCTATTGGAATGCTCCTTTGAAGACAAATGCTTAATCTTTGATTTCACATTAACGAGTGTTTTAGAACTGTGCCACTCATTTGTAATCCAAAAAACAAAAAAAAACAAAAAAAAGAATGTGTGACTTTGAATTAAGTAACACTTAAGTTTTTACATTTATGATATAATGATATAATATTTTAAAATAAAAGGACAGATGACATCGTCCTACATCGTGATTTAGAGACAAAAGCTATTGGTAAGATCACGTAATCAATTAGCTCAAAGTATATCAATAAACCATTGGTGTATGGTAATTATGAAATAAGATCATATCATAAAAAATACATAAAGTATAGAGTCATGAAATTATTTACTAAAACTGACAGGCTTACCAACACCGCGTTAACGAATCTCAGTATGGTTACATGCTTCTCGGGGAGGTAGGCAGATCTGTGATCAGTTATTGCTTGGTCTAATGAAGTGATAAACAATACTATAGTCAAGGCATAGAGAAGGGTTATGAAGAAACGTCCCAGTTAATAGAGAGTAAAAGTACTCAACTAGCCTCAACATAACAAAAATAATTTTATTTTTAAAACGGGCTAATTGGTCAATAATACTTTAAAAAAAAAAGTATTGTTTATTTACTTATTTAAATGAATCTTTCGACTATATTCTATAGTCATCTTCAGGGTACTATAATATTCTTATAATGTAGCAATAATTTAATATAAATTATAAAGAAATAATTATACAATATATTAACAAAAAAAAAAATGAAACATTTATATATGGAGAAATGACACATTTATACTCTACGGGATTGACTATCAGTTTTATAATTGGTGTCACTAAGAGTTAAGGGAGTTTTTGTTGGTTATTGCTTGGTGTAACACCTTTATATATTCTAAGTCCGCTTTGATTTAATCGTATAATATGAAGGGGCATATATAACCAAGTATATGTCGGAACAACAAAAAACAAATTGAAGACATGTATAACTGGAAGTAAGCACCGCGTGAGGTACAATAATAATATTAAGTCCATAACACAATAGATTGGGTTTCTGATTACTTCAGAATCGTCTTATTATTTTATATTCTGTTTCTTTAAAAGATCTTACTTAATATCTAAGCGTAATTGGAATGCACTATTCAGAAAAGTGGTTAACAGTAATAAATAACAACAAAATTTTATTAATATTTTAAATTATAAAATCATTAAACTGGCCGAACTTAATAGTAGGTCTGTTCCACGAGCTACTCATAGTAAAACATGAGTAAAACAGAAGTAAAATTTACACAAAAATACTTGAAAAATTGCTGGTGGAACGCGCTTGTGTATACACAGTGTTTACTGAAAGTTACTATGAGTAGCTCGGGAATAGACCTAGTATGTTCCCAATGTATTCGACCAACTCAATATTTACTATTAATGCCACATGAGCTAAGATTATGTTGTTCCAATGTTACCCTGTGACGATAGAAATAGTTTAAAAAAGAACAAGACTTACTCATTATTTTATTTATTTATTTTATATTCATTTATTTATTTCATTTATTTCTTTCATTTAATTATTAACAATTAAATATTTTTAATTATTTATTAGAAAAAAATTCGTAAAAAAGCTGTAATAAAAATACAGCTTTCTCTTTAGAAGATCTTCAGAGATTTCAGAGGAAATCTTTTATAGTGAACTGTATAATTTGAAAATAAATATGAAAAATTATGGAATAAAATCCTTATGTATATAAAAAATGAAAGATTTCATATTGAACAAATTGAATTGCATATACATATATAATTCTTACTTTTTACAGTACCACAGGAATAGCGTTGGTTCGTACATAGACAAGGTGATCAGTTTACGACCAACGCCAGTTGTTTAGATTTGCCTGTTCTTAAGTTCTTCCAAACTTATCTTATATTAAGAATTATTAACAAAAATTTGGGCACAGATTTATCCAATGACCATTTTGAAACTTTTTCTTGGAAAAAAATAGAATTCAAAATCGCCATTAATTTTTAAGAACTCCATATATATTTAGTTTTTTTAAAAAAAATATGTATAATTAATGTCAACTGGAATATTACCAATACTGATAATTTTTTCAATCTGTACAATAAATACAATAATTATCGGTAATCAATATATTAATCAAGATTTACTATATCCTGAAGTCTACAAAAGTTGCTGAAGTTATACGTGAAGTTATCTGAAGTTATCTGCAGAACAACGATTTTCGAATATACGAAATTGAACTAAAATTTAATTCCTAGTTTTCATCCCTGATCTTAATATCAGGACTTTTCTCCGCCAGGACACCAACGCCAGAAGCTTCTTCACACTCACCAAATTCATTTTTACATTGTGTTCCCTAGAATAATTATGTTATTATATATGGCCAAAAAGTAGATACTTAAGCCTATTTGATAACTAATCGAAATAATGATTGCATAAACTTACAGTATCCATTACGGTACTTAAGTCGAAATTTTTGAATAAAGCACTACTTGTTTCCTCTGATGGTGAAGGAGCCGCAACTAGCTTGTCAGACTCTCTCAGACAAAGGTCGTTATCTATTTGATATGGTTGACGTTGCATTTTTTTCAAAAAAGCCTCGGAAAAGAGTTCAGTTTCGACATTTTGTGGTGTTTCAAACACTTCTGGTTTTCTCTCTGTCCAATCTTTATGTATCTTATTTGTATGACATTGTATACTTTTCATGAACTCCTCCGAAAAAAGCTTGATTTTATTATTTTGAGGTGTTTTCCTATAATTTAGTTAGAGTTTGATAGTAAAAATGACTATACAATTTTTACGAAAACTTGCAACTTACTGAGCTACTGATTTTTCAGAACCCTTTTCCTCTGTGTTTATTTCACCTGACTGGCATTCTATATTGTTCAAAAACTTTTTGGAAAAATAGTCAATTTTAATGTTTTGCAATGCTTTAATTTGGGCTTCTTCAAGAGGCTTCATTTTTCTATATAACAGTTGTAGTTTGATAATATAATAAACTATGAAGTTGTTAAAAATACCAGCAACTTACTTTTTAAGAAAAGCCTTATCGGATTCCTGTGATGGTGAAAAACTCCCTACTAGCTTGTCTGATACTAATCCCTTTTTATTCAATTCATCTATATATTGTATATTTTTTAAAAAATCTTTTCCAAAATAGTTAACTTCGATATCCTGAAATCCTGTATTTGAAGATTGTATTTGAAACGGTTCTATGTCTCTATAAAATAGTTTAAGTGCGGTGATTTAATTAATTATTTAGTTTTTAGGAACATTTGTAACCTACCGTTTGTATGAAGTCCTGTTTAATTTCAGTAATTGTGAAGTTGTCATTACCTGGTCTGACTTATCATTCTTGGTTTCGGCGATACTCATTTCTTGTACAGTCTTACATAATTCTTTATCATCCGATTCCATATGACTATAAAGTAGATTTAGTTTGGTAGTACAGTTAACTACATTATTGTTAGAAACATTAGCAACTTACATTGTACCATTGCTGGAGTCCATTGCTGTACCGACCTGACTTGAAATGACCGCTTCTGTAACTTCTTCAATTCCATTGCATTGCATCATCGAATGATAAATTTTATCTATAAAATACAGTAACGCTCTTATATTACTTTCTGAATTCCAAAATAAAATTATGATTTCTAAAAAATATATATTTTAAATTTAAATACAAAAAAAAAATGGCAATTGTGATATGATTGTCTGTATAAATATATTTTGTTTTATATTACAAACAAAATAAAATTGTTGTGATCATACGTCATATGTTAGTTAAGATTGTTATGGTAATTTATATATATACAATTCTTTCAGCACGTAAAACCGGGCGTTCTTAGAACAGTTCTACTCTTTGCAGTAAAAAGTATTTAAATTCTGAGTAATTTGTTAATTAAATAACAGAGTATCATGATGATTGCACGGGTGTGCATGAATCGGATAAACTTCCATGTACCTCAATTAAGAGTGGAGACTATATCTTTCATCTTCACCGCTGAGCAGTGTGATAGACTATCAAAGAAGTATTTTCCTAAGAACCTATATCTTCTGGACGCTAAAGCCGGGCATTCACAGAGAAAATGTATTATAGTTTCTTTCTCCTGCGAGTTTCCACAACTTTTGCAGCGAAGGTTATGAGGAATGCGCAATTTCTCTTTAATATCGAAGCTCTTAAAGATATTTATATATATTTTTACGGGTTTGTTATTTTAGCATCATGTGTTCTTAGAAAATTTTGTTATTTATGAAAAAATTTTTTTTAAATGAGTATCTATGCATTTTAAAAATTTGTTAGTTTTGTAATAGTTCAGTTATCAGTATGATAAATCGTTGAGTCCCTCATAATCGAAGTATCTAATCACAATGGTGACTTACTTATCATTATCATAGTTTATAATTTCATTAATTTTTTTTTTATTTTCTAAAATATTTAAGTCATCTGCAGAACACACCAACAATGTAAGCGAATCCGACAGTGACGATTCTAGTGATGTGTCAAGAAAAAGGCGTAGATCATCACGTCTTATTACTAAAACTATACTAGACGAAGCGTTACAAACATTAGGTCGAAATAGTATCAAAGTCTCTATAGAAGACATTACAAACTATATTGCACTTAATTATCCAGATATAAGATTGGACTACAAAGCGCATCATATGATTGAGTACTATATAGATGGGTTGCGGGCAACTGGTGCCATTAGTTACGTATCAAAGCATCACTTTAAGTTCAGTGGATGACAGTGGTAGCATAATTGCTGTTTCTATTTTGATATTTCAAATATGAGGTACTTTAATGAGATCCTAATGATGACATACAAATAAATTGTCAGTAATCAATAAATGATTTATTCGAAAAAACATTTATATGTATGTTTCTTTTTGTGTTTTGTTATTTATGAACCCCAAAGACTTTGTCTATTTACTATGCTTAAATAATAAATCTCATTCGTGTTACCGACTTTGTTAAGTTTGGAAATAATACTTACTACCTGAACAGATGATAGCACTAATTGCTCCATGGTTCACTCTACTTCATGGTTCAAATTTGACAGCGAAATTTCCAAAAACGGAACTCTAAAAACTATATAAAGTTTAGTAAATCAATAGACTTTTCAGAGACCTATGATTATGGATATTTGGTGGTATCCAAAACAACTTATGATTAGCAAAAGAATTTACTTTTACTTTTATTCCGTTAATACCCCTAAATCGAAGACGTTTTGAAGATATGGATACATGACTAAAGATTGATCGATCCAAATGTATGACGGTCTTCGAAAATATTTTCAAACAAATTAGCTAAATGTCTTCAAAGATATTTTGCGCACATGCCTAAAAGACTAGATGCGTCTATGCCTTGCATAGCGGACGCATTCGATAGAAAGTGTGTCATTCGTTTAATTTTGAGAGAGAGCAGGCAAAAGGAAGAGGTTTTTTTATTCATATTTTGAGCAATTGTTGTGCAAATTTGCTTAAAAATGCGGACCGTTTCGAAGACAATGTCTTCGCAGAGCACTTTTTCAACTGGGAAGTCACTTTGTTGTGCTTAGTTGAAATTGTATGTTATATCTCGTTTTGATGATAAGAATTGGCTATCAAGATCATATTTTTTTTATCTCTGCACGCTGATTATGTGGACAGTCCTTAAACAGTCCTTACCGTTTTGACACCGTGAAAATGTACTTTCATTGAGTTATAAATGTGCTACTGCCCAGTTATGCACTATTTATTTATCGAAAATTATATCAAAAAGTTCCACGACTGTATGATGTCTTATTTCGATAATATTCGTTTTAATTTGTAAAAAACCGATTCTTATTTACGTTAACTTTCGGAACTATAAAATGAATAATCACGTACACAGCATGAATAAGATGAATTAGAAATATACGAAACCAAAGACCAGAAATTTACTACTTAGGAGGCTTTCCTTTGTTAACTCATTAAACAGCCCTGAATATATAGTATATATGTGTAAATATGCGCACTACACATCTTTTAGGTCCGGGTGCATTCATCGGGGTGTATGTATAAATATATTTTTTCGATTCATTTCAGGAGGCTTTAACCCCACTACTAGTACGTAGGAATGAAACCATAAATTTTTCTGTAAATATAATGCTGAATAATAAAAATAAATAAATAAAGAAATAAAATAAACATTAGTAGTAAGGCTTTTTCTGTAAAATATAATAGTCCCATTTCCAATGCCGGTTGATTTATTAGTTTTGAGTAAATATTTGTCAGTTTGTGTTAAATTAAGTCAAACAATTTGAAACATTATGGTCACCAGACTGTATTGAAAAAGGATAATTGCTTGAATTTGTTTAATTTCACATATACTCAACACTCCACTCAAACACTCCACTCAAACACTCAAACTTAATTTAAAACAAACCGAAATTGATTTAAAGGCAACGTCAATAGAAAGTATGCAAATCCTTGAACTAGTTCAGATTTCCTAAGTGAAAAAATTTTGTTAGCACTTATAATTTACTCGATTACATCTTTCTTTGGTCCTTAATTAAATTATTTTGACCTAAACCCATTTCATAAAATGAAGAATTAAAAAGAATTGCTACAATTTGCTTATGTCTTTATGCGTAACTTTTTACACTTATTGCCAAAGTTTAACCCTGGCACATGAAATACGACTACAGTTTCGTGCAAATAAACTTCCTTTTCCGCACATTGTCTTCATTGTCAGAAAGGACATTGCTCGAGTTTGTATTTGATGTACTAATAAAAGAGATAAAATTTTATATGTGCGAGCATATACCATAGGTAACTTTAAATATTAAATAACACCTACTGATACGTACTCTCTTCTCTTGCTCGAGCTTCCCTTCGCCTGCACGGACACAGGCAGAGGCACTGGCAGAGGCACTGGCAGAGGCACAGGCAGAGGCACAGGCTTTGGGTAATAGAAGAAGCGCCGAAAATTGCAGCAATAGTCTACTGAGAGTTTTCATTTATTATGTTTATTTAACATTTTGCAAAACTTTCTCATATCCTTATGGCAGCACATAATCCTTCCTTCCTACCATACTAGTGGCATAGCTGGTGCCATTATGTATATGTGATGTTAATGTGTATGTATTAGTGTTTAGCAGTTAAACATATGAAACTACTAATTTTCTGGGCATTTAAACTACAAAACTACGCAAAGTTTCCTTACCCATTTAGTTCCTTGCTTTTTCCTATGTAATAATTTTTATTTTTTACTTTGGCAGCTGCATGTAAACGTCGGAAGTGCAAAACTTTAAAGACTAAAGATCTCAAAGGATGTTATTTTATGCTGGAGGAATATTCATACTACTGATAAAAACCTTTTAAAACTTTTTTGTGTAAATTGGTATGTTGCCATTTGTTGTTTTATATAAATTTGTAGGGGCAAATGTTTGTATGTATGTTCGAAAGTGAATTGTTAAAACATGTCTGTTTATATCCTTGTATGTTAGTACTTGTGGGTGTGTCATGCATTATTATAAATAAAAGAATTAAAGAAAATTAAATTGGGGACAGCAGGACACATTTGAGTTGGTGTTTAAAATAGAAAATTGCAATATGAGTAGAGAGGAAGTAAAATTTAGTTTCAAGTTTAATAAAAATTTTAACATTTCCATTTCCATAAAAAAGCTATTTTGCTACAATAACTTTATTTCGTGTATTTTTGCAATTAGTTTATTATTCTTTCACAAGGACTAATTAAACTTTGATCAACAAACATGAGCATTTCACTTAATTAAAACAATAGCCTTTCCTGTGACATAATTTCCATGGTTTTACTTCAGCAAATAAATAACTTTATATTTACAAATCTTTTAACATAAATGATGTAACGAGATATAAATGCTGTTTTCTTAGTAATGTTTAGCATTTTCCGAGTTAGTGCATTTGGGTAATTTTACTCTTTGATAACTGGGGAGTATCTGCAGAGTCCCACCCATCTCACTGACTAATTTAAGTATTCCTCATAATCTTCGTGATTATTCAGCGACTGATCTAACATCTGCATACCGCCTCGTGCGTTTAGTGATTACTCTGAGATTAAATAGTGCTAAGTAGAACAGCCTCTCAGCTTTCGCATATAGCTTCAGAGCTCTGTCCATTATGTATTTTTTGACCGGATCTATTTTAAGGTCTCTTACCTTCGGAGAACCTGACTTTGAGCAACTTGTAGCTTAGTTTGATGTTATTAAAAACTGTTGAATTATTATTTATTTACGTTAGGATAAATTTCACCGGCTATACTTCGGATCCAATTAGGTGTATTGACCAATTATTTCACCATATAAATGAGTTATTGGTAACTTTAAAATTTTGGATACACTTGGACCTATTCGCCAATAGTTTCACCGTATAAATGCAGAATTGGTAACTTTAAAATTTTAGACACACTTGGGCTTATTGGTCAATTGTTTCAGTGTATAAATGAATTATTGTTAACTTTAAAATTTAGTTTTCAAGACAATTCTTTAAAGTCTAAAAAATAAGGGTATTCGAAGTTTAAAAAAAAAAATTTCAACTGCAGCCCACCGCGCCACAGTATCACGAAAGATATGTACATATCATTTTTTCAGCTGCTTGGACCTAGGTTCCTAGTAGGCGGAGATTTTAATGCTAAACACTTAAAATGGGGTTCCCGCCTAATATCTCCAAAAGGACGTCAACTCTTCGAAGCAATAAATGTACTCAACCTCCACACAATCTCAACAGGTGAACCCACATATTGGCCAACAGATTGAAGAAAAATACCTGACTTAATTGATTTTGCGGTATCAAAGGGGGTACGTATCGAAACAACTACCTGTAAGTCCAATTTCGACTTGTCATCTGACCACTCGCCAATAATAATCACTCTCAATGACTGCTGTGAAATTATGGAAAAATGTATTCTTCATAATAAAAACACTGACTGGAATAGTTACCGTCAACTAATTTCAGTTGGTCTAAATACCGAAGTCAGGTTAAAAACTGAATCTGACGTAACTGAAGCAGTAGAGCATTTCAACTCTTGTGTCCAAATGTCTGCATGGGAATCAACTCCACCAATTTCTAAAAGTGTTAAGCAAGATTATCCATTTAACATTAGATACCTGATTAAAGAAAAGCGTAGGATGAGAAAACATTGGCAACAGTCAAGATTCCCTGCGGATAAAACTCGCTTAAACAAACTGTGTAAACTCGTTAAAGCCCTTCTTTTAAAGTATAACAATAATCGCACGTCGCTATACCTTCAAAACCTAAGTGCTTCATGTGATACAAAATATTCCCTTTGGAAAGCCATAAAAAAGAACAACAGACCGATTGTCTATCAACCACCTATACGCAAAATCGACAACTCATGGGCAAAAAGCGATATTGAAAAAGCAGAAACATTTGCGTTACATTTGGACCAGGTCTTTAAATCAAATGATAACCAAAATATGCCTGATGTCATGAATCAAAGGATTAATTTTCTACAAGAGCCTTATCAATTGGAACTTCCAATTAAAAGATATACTATTAATGAAGTTAGAGATGTAATAACAAAGTTAAAAGTAAAAAAAGCTCCAGGATACGATTTAATCACAGGCATGGCCTTGCAGCAGCTCCCACCAAAAGGATTTGTATTTCTCACTCATCTATTTAACGCTGTGATAATAAGGGGGTTTATTCCGCCACAGTGGAAGATAGCACAAATCTCCATGATACCGAAACCAGGGAAAAGCCCAGAAGACGTCAAATCATATCGGCCAATAAGTCTGCTTCAGATCCTGTCAAAAGTTATGGAAATCCTGTTTCTAAAGCGCCTTACTCCGTTTATCCAACAAAACAGACTCATACCTGACCATCAATTCGGCTTTCGCCAAAAACA